ATACCTCATTTTCAGTAGCATTCACTATGTTACGAAATCAGTCATCACCAGCCTTCTTGGTGAAAACTGAAACATGGCAACTGCCATTTTCACATTTTCTGTTATTGTTTTTCCCTCTGCATTGAGTAATGGGCCTTCTCTGTCCTTGGTCTTCCTCTTGCTCCTAATATATTTGTAGATTGTTTTCTTGTTACCTTTTATGTCTCTAGCTAATTTGATATTGCTTTCTGCCTTGGTCTTTCTAATTTTGCTTCTACATACTTTTGTTATTTGTTTGTTTACATTCATACCTTGTAACCTTGCCTTGTTTCCACTTTTTGGAGGACTCTTTTTTATTTTTAGATCATTCAAGGTCTTCTGGTTAAACTAGGGTGATCTCTTGCCATACTTTCTATTTTTCCTACACAGTGGAATAGTTTGCTCTTGAGCCCCTAATAAGGTTTCTTCAAAAAACTGCCAACTGTCCGGAGTTGCTTTTCCTTTTAGACTTGCTTCCCATGAGACTTTACCTACCAATTCCATGAGTTTGCTAAAGCCTGCCTTCTTGAAATTCACTGTCTTTATTTTGATATTCTCCCTCCTACTTATGGTAACCCTGATAGCAAAGTTAGTTTGGTGTCCAATGTGTTAAGGATAAAGGATGCTTTGATGTATATTTGAAACCTCAAGTATTTTTCTGAAGTATCGCAGATAAAACCCTGCTCTTATGTGTTATATTTCCTGAAATATGCTACAGACCCCTTCAAAACTTAACATCAGGTTTTTTGTGTGGCAATAATTAAGTATGTATGTACAATACACTCCCCATTCATTGCTAGATAGTATCCCACACCAAATTATTTTCTTTTCTTTTTAAACAAACAGCCATTTGGGGCAAATCCAGAGAAAGATTCAGAGCTGAAAGTCAGATTTATATTTGTTAGCAGGTTCAATGGGTTTGTTCCAGAAAGAGCTATGTGTGTCAATGATGTTAATGTATTCATCTGTCAGAGTTTAGGAGTAGCTAGTAGAAATTTTTCTCTGAATTTTCAGCATAACATAGGCAAAATCCTCTTTTTGGTTTAGAATCTGTATTGTAGATTTCCAGTGATCCTGCTTTTTGTTATTCTATAAAAGCTTGCAATGTGGGAAGCTGAATAAAATAAATGACATTGTTGGCTTAGCAGGAATTATACAGTGCTGCTTCTATCAGAGGTGTTTGATCTTGACAGATATTTCATAGCTTTAGAATATTCACTAGACAATCAAAGTAATTTTCCTGCCTCTGATCAATGCTAAGTTGTAAGCCTTTTTTCCTGAGCAAAACATGGTGTAATACATTCTCACCCCAACAAAAAAAAAGTAACTTCAAGGAGTGTGGATTTCAAAAGATAATTACACCTTTAGGGGAAAAAATTAAGGCTGTGCAATGAAATTCGTAACACCACAGGAACTGTTTATTTTAGGATCGCCATGCAAGTGTGTCTAAGGCCACACCCTGTAAATATTATGATGTTCAGTAAGTGATCAGAAAAGTTCCTCCTTGCAAGATGTGAATCCACATATTTTAAGTTAGACATCAGTAAAGTAGAAATTCAATGCTCCAAATGTCAAGTCAGAGGAGTGGGAGTAGGGTAGTGTGGGAGGCTGCTCTTCCCTCTCTTGCCAGTGAAGCAAACACTGCATGTGTTTGTTTCCTCAATTGAGGAAACAATGTAGCCTTTCATATGATGCAGGTGGCTTGAAATATAGCAGAAAAGGGACATTATGAATTACCATGATAGTAAGGTTGAAAGGTTTGGAGCGCTTTATTCAAAAAGCCTTTGCAAACAATATTGCAGCTGCATTAAATATCAATGAAAGCTGCGTATCTGCTGGTATGAATGTGAGCACCACAGAAAATGAAGGGAAGGTACTGAATGGTATACAGTGTTTCAAAGGGCAGTGAATGCCATTTAATTAGTAAGTGATTACCAAGATTAGGTCACTGAATTAACTGTTTGAAAGAAATAAGGAAGGGCCTTGAGTAATCTGCAGCAGTTGTGAGAAGATAGGGCAAGCCAACAACAACAACAACAAACATCCAAGGCAAGATTTTGTGAAAGCTGATAAGGACCAGACTTTGAGAAAGATGACTTGGCTGGACAGGAACTTGAAAGATACATAAGCTTATGAATGAAACCAATAAAAAATCTTTCAACAATTCACTGCAATAATTAGTTTATGACCATAGAACCATTCCAATAAATTAAATACTGGCATCCTAAGGAGAAAATAGGAGCATTCTGGCTCTGCTTTATCTGCCACCAAACAACAGGAGTCAAGCACAAAGAACAGCAATTCAGCAGGCACAAGAGGAAGGGAAATAGCACAGAGTACACAGGTGCACAAGGGGAGGTAACTTGTCTAAGGTCACACAAAGCCTGTAGTAGAGACAGTCATAGAACTCTGAGCTCCTGATTCCTAACCCAGCGCCTTAACCAAATTCTCTTTAATTTACAAGCTGGTTCAGCAATGAAAGTTATGAAACTGGAAAAACTCCAAGACCAGATTGAATTCACCTGAGACTTACAGCTACAATGCCAGTGCACATACCAGGTAGCTCCATACATACCTGCTTCAGGAGAATATGTAAGCAGTGATCTATGGAACTATGCACAATCATTACCATTTGTAACTACAGAGGGGGGAGGGGGAGCAAGAATGGCTACTAGAATGGTATTCCCCTGTTGTTACCAGCAGAAATAGAACTTTTTACTGAAGCAAAATGCAGGACAATGTAGCACTTTAAAGACTAACAAGATGGTTTATTAGATGATGAGCTTGCGTGGGCCAGACCCACTTCCTCAGATCAAAGCTCATCATCTAATAAACCATCTTGTTAGTCTTTAAAGTGCTACATTGTCCTGCATTTTGCTTCAGCTACCCCAGACTAACACGGCTACATCTCTATCACAACTTTTTACTGAGAGTCTTGTGGACGTTGTTGTGTATCAGTCATGGGATATTGGAGAAACAAGGCGTGTGAGGGAATATCTTTTATAGGACCAAATTTCTACTGGTGAGCAAGGCAAGCTTTATGACTAACACAGAGTTCTTCTTCAGCTCTGGGAACCATATTCAGAGTGTTGAGTCACACTTAAATAAAAGGTGCAACAGATTATTTAGCATAAGTAGTTAACACATGTTTCAAGGGACCATTCAAGGTGAATTAGACCATTAACATCCCTCTTAGTCATAGGAAGGAATGGAAGAGGTGGAAGGAAAAACTGCAATTGCAAGGGACTGTGGATTATAGATAATTGCATAAATTATGATCATGCAAATATTACAGATAAATAATTATACCTGCACCTGAAGAAGAGCTCTGTATGGGTCAAAAACTTGTCTTGATCACCGACAGAAGATGGTCCACTACAAGATATTACTCACCCACCTGTCTCTCTCTTGATACCGATGATAATATTTATGTAAGGGGACTGTTAGCCCCTTACTTAAACTCTGTGGGAGTTTTTTGGCTTGCCAGCTCCCAGTGTCAACAGGGGAAGGGTCCATGAGACTGACAGACCCCAGAGACAATGGAAAGCAGCCAACACTCCAGCTTAGCCTGATTGACAAGTTGGACAGGCCAGTGAGAAAAGCAAAAGGCCAGGACCCGTCCTCCCTGTGAGCTGGGATTGTTCTGGCTCTCTCTGAGCAAACAGAGAGCTGAGACACTGCCCAAGGGGGGCAAGCAGTGTGCAGAAGAAGTCCTGCAAAAACAGGGAGCTGAGAGACAGCCCAAGCAAAGCAAGCTGTGTGCTGAGGGGCAGTTTTTGCAGCAGCTGAGCCAGACATACACAGCTCAAGGAGCGCAGACCCTGTGTTGAGCAGCAGACTGGCAGTGCTCAGAGAGCCTAAAGGAACAGAGAAGCAATGCAAGAAGCTAGAGACTGGCCACATAGCACAGCCTGCAGCTGGATGTGGTGAGCAGCTGGGAACTGCAAAGTGTGGGGAGAGGCTCTGGACTGGGAGAGGGGTCTGGCCACTTAGAGCTTGAGGCTGTGTGGTCACTGCCAGAGCAAGCGTGTCCAGCCTGCAGCCCCTCCCCCCCCCTGCAGCACATCCAAGGCCTCTAAGGGGCCTCTAAGGAAGAGACTGTGGACTGTCCTTACACTCTGCAGGCTGCTGTTTTGATGTCCCTGTGCTACAGAGCAGGGCTGTGTGTTCTCATTTAACCATTCTCATTTTTTCTTATTCTTTTCTCTTTAATCAGTTGATGTTTAATAAATTGTATTTGCTTTGAACCTTATGAAATGATCACTGGGCCAAGAAAGCCTGCAGTGTAAAGAGAGCTCCTCGGAGTGGGGACACCCTAACTACACAAGAGATCTTACAGCGGTGCAGCTGCATCAGTTCAGCTAAGCTGTTGTTAGGTCTCTAGCATAGACATTTCCTCAGTCCTATCAGCAATACAGTGCTGCCTTGGTGCAGAAAGAAGTACTATAGGCATGAAGTGAGTTTGTTACCAGAGAGTTCCAGGAAGCACGTGGGGAATAAAACATAAGCCTGTTTACAATTTTGACCTAAGTTTTGATATTGTCAACTGGGAAGGACTGGGCAAACTCCCCTCAGAGCATGAATTTTTTTAGGTGTCCATTCTGCCTGGCAGAACATAAGAAGGACCATATTAGGTCAGACAAAAGTCCATCTCACCCAGTATCCTGTCTGCCGACTGTGGCCAATGCCAGGTGCCCCAGAGGGAATGAACAGAACAGGTAATTATCAAGTGATCATTTCCAACTTCCTGCAACCAGAGGCTAGGGACACCATCCCTGCCCATCCTGGCTAATAGCCATTGACGCACCTATCTAGTTTATTTTAGCGCCCTGTTATAATTTTGTCATTCACAACATCCTCTGGCAAATCATTCCACAATTTGAATGATGTGTTGCATGAAAAAAATACGTTATTTTGTTTTAAACCTGCTGCCTATTACATTCTGAGAATTCTTGGTAGGATCTTTGTACATGTTACTCTACCTTGTCCAGTTGTCATGTTGAACTAGATTGAAGCAAGCAAAACAATGCTTTGGCATGGAGTCACTTTTGGCTCGTTGTGGTAACACCATTGATGATGCTATCCAAGATGTCACAATGTCACAGCTGTGATGACAAGATATTTTATTACATTTAAAATATCTGCCAAGCCCCTTAACCTGAGCAAATTTGAAAGCCTATGAGAAGGCTAAGCAGATGATGGTGCACTTGTCACACGTGTTCCAAAAGTGCACCACACACAAGCTTGCTTAGATAGCTAAAAACTGATGTATAATAGATATAACAGATGTATACAGTTATATAATTCTTAAGAAAGTCACAACAATATACTAACTATATGTGAAAATGCAGCAGCACAAATCAATTTCTCTATACCATAAAGTAAGGAAACTGTGCCTCTCAAACAGTTCTCATGAGCCAAAAAATTAGTAGAGAGATGTTTGCCATAACAGCCCTAAGACAGGCTGCCACATAGCTTCCTTTGAATAGACAGGGTCTTTATAATCACTGTTGCCAGCACTATAACAGCTGTAGTGATGTTAGCAACTATCTGCATTTTGAGCCATATTCACTAAACAAGCTCACAGCAGCATTATGTGACATGTTGGCTAACATGGCATTGGGTGCCCACTCATACCAGGGCTTCCAATGTTCCTCACACTGGTGGGGCGGAACCAATATTAGCAACTAGGGAAATGTTTAGAAAGCTTCCCTTGCACAGAAAGAGTCAAAAGAGTTGGCTGGTATAATTTTATTGCTAGAGTAATTTACATTGTATTTTAAACTGTAGCTATGCATAGTGCTTTTAAACGGTGACAAGATCCCTGCCCTGGGGATCTTAGCATCTAATAGAAGCAGGTAACAACAAGTAAACATATTAAGCTTTGGACAGGGAGTGAGTTCAGGCTGGGGGAGAATGTAGAGAAATTATCTCTGGCACATCAAAGTGCTGGGATAAAATCCATCAACAGAACCTTTGAGCAATTTATTGTTTTCCAAGGAGCAAGATAAAATCATGAATGAGTTCCTGCAAGGACTTTGCAAAAACAGGAATGAGGTAATGCGTATAAAAGCATTTTCTGTCTCAATACATGTTCTGCATTGTGGATACAACTCAACAGAGTATAGAGAACTTTTGACCAAAAGAAGCAGTCAAACGTCCAGGGATTGGAGGGGACTAGCTCATTGAGATACTAAATAACCAAACCTAACAACCCTCCAGATTTCATTCCATGTCCACATGCCTAGAGTCTGTATTCATGCAGCTCATTTTGCTCTTGACTGCATTCCCAAATTGTGTTGTCTCTAGTTTTGCATCAAACTCCTGTGGGGTCAAAGTTCAGGTTACTTTTCTCCTATTATTCACTAAGGCCAATTCAAGTTGTCCTAAATAAAGAAAATAAGAGAAAATGAAATACAAAATACATTTCAGAGGAGAACATAAATACAGCTAGAATTTTGGGTCTTCTTTCTTTTGATGGACTCACTGTTTGAGCAATATCTGTATGTGATCATCTTATCTGTCAGCTGAAGAGAAGAGTACGTAGGTCAGATTTCACCAAGAACGTTGCTCCTTGTTTAGGAGTTGCATTGGGCTGAATTTTTAGCCCTGTGCCTTATTTTTAAAAACAAGTCTCTTATCCTGCACTGGAGCTGAGAAGCATTCAGCCAGCAGACTATAGGCCAAAGGACAGAAATGGCATCTAGAAATCAGCAGAGCAAAGGGAATCCTATGCCACAGTGCCTTCTTTCCCCTACATCATCTACAGGTAGTTGGATAGCATAGGAGCTTTCATATAAGCTCTATTTCACAAGGGCTGTGTCTACACTGCACCCCTTTTCCGGAAAAGGGATGCTAATGTAGCACATCGGAGTAGGCAAATCCGTGGGGGATATTTGCATTAACATGGCTGCCGCTTTTTTCCGGCTTGGGGATAAGCCGGAGAAAAGCGCCAGTCTAGATGTGATTCTCCGGAAAATAAGCCCTTTTCCAGAGGATCTCTTATTCCTACTTGAAAGGAAAGAGATCCTCTGGAAAAGGGCTTATTTTCCGGATAATCACGTCTAGACTGGCGCTTTTCTCCGGCTTATCCCCAAGCCGGAAAAAAGCGGCAGCCATGTTAATGCAAATACTGTGGGGGATATTTAAATCCCCTGCGGATTTTCCTATTCCAAAGTGTCTAATCTGCATCCCTTTTCCGGAAAAGGGGTGCAGTGTAGACACAGCCAAGAAGTTTTCCTTATACTGGGATGATCTTGATGTGGCCAGCTACACTCTCTTTGGGGGTGCAGTAACCACATCACAGCCCAGGATCTGTGTCTGCATCTTATCCCTTTTCAATTACGGAGAAACGCTCTGGCACTGACTCACAGGTAGTGCCCACACTTGGCCTTTATGGTTCCTGAGGGAACCCCTTTCAGTGCAACAGTCCTTCTTGAGGGTCCACTCACTCTCAGGGGCTTAAGCATCTCTGCATCCTGAGACGACATCTCTCTGAAGCTTCAGCACACCTGTCTCTTGTCATGGGTCTCCTCAGGGAGTCCACTCACTCTGGACCCCCAGGACCTCTACTCCCAGAGGGAATAATGTTCTCAGAGCTGTCCTTAGGATTTAGGGGACACTACACAATCCCTGGTCCCACCCCCCACTTTCCCTGTCCCATCCCCATAGCACGTTACCTGGTGCCAGTAGAGCATAGTAGCTGCTACCTGGGATAGTCCAGCAAGGAGGGGATTAAGAGGCTGTAGTGTGCAGTAGTCTCCACTGGAATATTGTGTCCAGTTTTGGGCATCACATTTCAGGGAAAAAGTACAGTAATTCCTCATTTAACTCTATAGATATGTTTCAGAAAATGATCGTGTTAAGTGAAAACGTGTTATGCAGGGTCAATTTTCCCACTGAAAATAATGGAAAAGGTGGGGGTTGCGTTTCAAGCGGTGGTGTCTGTTGGGACCGGGACATAAGGTTGGGAGAGAAAGGGGACTGGGTTACAGCAGGGAGGGGAGGTGTTTGGCTCTGGGGAAGGGAAGGGGAGGAGAGGGAAGGGGGATTGGGTTGGGAATATGCCCCTGTGACGGGTCTGCTGGGACTCGCACTGCTTCCGGAGAGGGGGGGTGCTGGGGAACGGTGCAGCGAGTGGCGAACCCTCCGCCGCTTTGTAGGGAGGCAGGGGAAGCCCCACTCAGCTGCCGGCAACAGGCCGCCTGAGGAAATCATGTTATTCCAGGGATGGTCATATAATTCAAAAAACGTTCCCTAAAAAAAAAAAATTCATGCTATCGCAAAAACATGTGCGGGCACGTGTTAAATGAGGAATTACGGTATACTCATTAGTGAAAGTTCAAAGAATAGCAACAAAAATTATTAAAGGTCTAGAAAACACAATTTATGGGGAAAGATTGAAAAACCTGGGTTTATTTAGTCTGGAAAAGAGAAGACTGAGAGGGGACATGTAACAGTTTTCAAGTATCTAACGGGTTGTTACAAGGAGTAGGGAGAAAAATTAACCTCTGAGAATAGGACAAGAAACAATGGACTTGAATTACAGCAAGGGAGGTTTAGGCTGGACATTAGAAAAACTTCCTAGCTGCCAGGGTGGTTAAGCACTGGAATAAATTGCCTAGTGAGGCTACGGAATATTCATTATCAGAGACTGGTTCGAGAAACACCTGTCAGGAATGGTCTAGATTAGGGCAGGCAAGATACAGTCTGCAGGCCAGATTTAGCCTGCCAAGCCTTTTCATCTGGCCAGTTTCTGACCAATAGGAGCTGAGAGATTTTGCTGAGGGCAGGGGCAGCGCATGAAGCCTCCTAGCTGGGGGCTCTTGACTGGCAGGAAGCCTTCTTGAGAGTGCTGCAGGTAGGAAGCTGCTTAAGTAGCAGAGCCCAGCCAGAAACTGCCTCTAGCATCCCATTCCCTCTGGCACCCAACTCCCTCCCAGACCCTGTGCTCCCTCCTATGCCCCTCCCCAAGGCCAGAATCCTCTTTTGCACCCATATCCACTCCTGGACCCTGCACTCCAATTCCCTGGCCCAGGTAACCCAAACTCCCTCTCAGACCCCACACTCTCTCCTGCACCTCAGTCTCCCTTCTGCACCGAATCACCATCCCAGACCCTGCACCTCCTCCATAGAAAAGTGCAACCCTTGACAACTTTCCAAAATCTTGGAGTACCTCCCATCAAAAATGATTGCCCACCCAGGTCTAGATAATGCTTAGTACTGTCATGAGCACAAGGGACTGGACTAGATGACTTCTCAAGGTCCTTTCCAGTCCTATGATTCTATGACTGGAGTTCCTAGGCTGCCTGCATGCAAATAGTGAATTTAATAATCAAATAATTATACTGAAAAAGTTAACCTGTGGAACATGCCAAGGACCAATCATTCAGTTTTAAGAATCAAAGTAACAGCCTATGAAGAATAGTTTTCAAGTGAGTTCCAAGAGAACTGAATATTTCACAAACTCAGAGAGCAGGAACTGAAACATTTCCCTGTCTCACTGCGAGGAAGGTCTGTAACATTTAGAATTGAACTCTTTAACACTTACAAGTCTACTAACGTTTCAGAGGGGTAGCCGTGTTAGTCTGTAACTGGAAAAACTTAAAAACAACAAATAGCCTTGGGTTGTGCCCACGAAAGCTCATGATATCATCTACATTTTTTGTTTGTCTCTAAGATGCTGAAAGATTTTTTTTTTTTTAAGTTTTTCAAGTCTACTAAAGCTTTTGCTAAATAGTTTTGTTTTTTCAACTTGGACAGTCAATGGTAGTGATTTGAATTTTCATTTGTCTTCGGTTTTCTGAATGAACAACTGTCTGTGTAAGTGGTGTCTGGCACAGTAGAGCTGCTCCTGGAACAAGGTGGGTGAGGTAATATCTTTTATTGGACCAACTTCTGTTGATAAGACAAACAAGCTTTCAAGCCACGCTTTTAAGCTTTCTTAAAAGCCAGATCTACACTGCATCCCATCCCTATGTTGGTATGACTAGGTCTGTCAGCCATGTGAAAAATACACATCTCTTGAGTGACATAATTATACAGACATAACC